AGGGTGGCATTCTCTGGGTAAAAATTAAAAGCATATTTGTAAGGTGATTAGCAGAATTTGTCAAATAAACAAGCCTGTCTACATTCCTACAATATTCCTTTGTAAATCTGCTAGAGCAAATCTAAAGCATTTCCGTAAGACATAAGGAATATGCATTTTTAAAAACTAGGAAACCAAGAAAATGCTTGCTATTTAAAGGCATCAATGAAGTCACAGAAACAGGCATGATCAAAATCATCTGAAACAAAGAAATATTAGGGATTCTTAAGGTAAAAAGGAAGACACTGGGAAGGTAGGGAGAGAAGAATGTTCTATAGCAGAAAAGTTCTTAATTTTAGGTCCATGTATACTTTTATATGTAGCATTAATTTTCCTCTTTCCAATTCTACCTTAACCAAAATATAAAATCTTACTTTTTCACCTCATTATACAATCACTTTAAAAACATATATGGAAGGTCATATCACTAACTATGCCCTTCTTATATGTGTAAATATATTTATGTTAAGATACAAAAACATTAAAGAAATACAGTGTTAGTACGGACACATGGGGGATTGCCTCCCCCTAAAGAACGTTAGCAATTATTGCAACTAGCAAATTCCAAAATAGAAATATTATCTTTATATCCTTATGTCCTCTCTTAGTATTCAAGCCCATGATGCTTTTTTTAATAAAGTGATAAATGAGAGTAGCTTTTTGGTCAACTGACTCATTTTAAGTGGTAGCATCAAGTTTGTTTGTGAACATTTGTTTGTGTACTATTGGTCCCCAAAACAGAAACACCTAAGAACTCAGGAGAATAAAAAAAAAAAAGAAAAGAAAAGAAAAAGAAAACGGCTTAAAACACACACAAAACCCTTAGTTACCATTCTTTGACTGTTATTCAAAAGCAACTTTTTTTAGTTACTTAAGACACCTACATTCCCATATGAGTACTGCTAAAAAAAAAAAACTGAGTCCTGAGTGAAAATTAGCAACCAAAGCTTTACATCTATGTTACTTACTCAATGAACAATCTTACCTACCACCTAACCGTAATTGGTACTAGAAAGTGCCTGTAAAGATTTACAATAAGGGCATGAGAAAAATGCAATATTAAATTCATCCAACTTTGGGGAACCTTTAATAATAATAATTCTATATATCTCTAAGGCATAGCACGATGGTAAGTGCTTAAACACACATCTGATTTCTTTAGTGCAATATGTAACTAGTCTGTTTTTTTAAATGATTATCTTAAACACAGAGAGCTAAAATGAGGGGTCAGAAGTCACAAGACTAGTAACTGATAGAGCCTGCAGTGCAACTCAGGCCTTCTGACTCAGCCCCGAATTCTACAATGCCTGGATGTCTCAGAGAGCTAAGCACCTTCCTCTGTGAGATTCCTAATACAACTAATGGAAATAGGTTTGGAATTTAATAAGAAAAATGCTGACATGGCCTTATCTATAGCTGCCCAAATGATGTCATTATAATTATGCTTTATAAGTTGAGTATTACTAGAAAACTTGCTACTTTTAAGTCTTATTAATCAACATTTGGGTGCTTTGGTTGTCACAAATTATGGAGTAATCTCCTTTACAATAACACAATATTTGCCAAACACCAAAGATCGTATCTGTTGTAAGACAAAGTATATCCCAAACACTTCAGTGTATAACAGATTGAGTCTGAAATATAAATCTTAAATTAATCCTAAAAGTCTAGTGATTCTTTAAAATATTTTATCTATTTGTTTTTTTAATAATAACACATACTTTGCAAACATAATAAAAATTCCTTTTAAATTTTCCTCTAGTTTTAGGAATACTGTGGTTACTTATCAGCTAAATCTCCTGACTTTGCTGAAGCAACTGGTCAGGAAACAAAATTAGTACCTTCTATATTTATAAATAGAATTTCTTCTTCTATTCTCCTGAATATTTTCTAATCTAACTGCATAACTTGGACTGAAAAAATGGCAATAAAATAGAGAAATAGATATTATAGTTTAAATTATTCACTGCCTTCATGTTTAAATGCTTTTCTATTAAGCAAAGCTTTTTATTATTGATTTGTAGGATACTTAAGAAAAATGCCATAATGTGGCTCAGTTACATAATCCTCTTCCAAAAGAAAGTAACAGGTTATAAAGTGCCATTAAAATCATTGAAACTATCTTTCCTAACGTGAATCTATTTGCAGTCTTCAAGTAAAAGGATAGCAATGACATGTGTATGTATATTTCACAGGCAATGTCCTTTTTTAGAGACCTCTTTTCCTTTCTAGTATTATTTCCATCCACTACAGAGCTTATAAAGCCTGTAGGATATGCCATTTCGGTAACATATGTGTGGCTTATGTCAGTAAACAACTGAGGAAGTCATTTATAAAATATTAAAATTAGGAGTACAGGCAAAATCATTGCAGGCTATATTTCTGCACATAGTTGGAGACTAACAGCATAGAAGCAGCTGCAGTGTTACCCTGACCCCTGAAGGAAGGAATCAGGAGTTAACTTCGCATCCAATTTCCTACACAATCTGAACATCAAACCTCCAAATCCATTGGAACAATATATCAACATTTGGGGAATGTCCTACAGAAATAAGAAAGTCATCTCAAATATCAGAGTTCAAGATTTCTTTCCACCATTCCACCATTCTGACTTGGGGGTGAGCAGATCTTTTCAAAGTTACTTAGTGGATGTCTAGATCTTGCGTCTGACTCCATAGGGAAAAAACACCGAAAGAATCATCTCATCTCCATGTTAGAAAAGTCATTTCGCCTTTTTTTGTAAAATAAATGTAAAGGGAAGTAGAAAATAACACAACTAAGTGAAAAGAGAAAATGATTTAATTCAATAAGGTGAAGATTTTATCAGAGTTTCTTTTTGAGGGGGTATGTAATCTATTGAAGGGAAAACAGAACCTAAAACCATAGAAGGCCAAAGGAGCTGATGAGTATCTTCTTTTAAAGAAACTCACAGACAGCTCCAAATAAAAGACCATGGAAAATGACATTTTATTCTGCAGCATCCCATCCCCTCCTCTGTACAGCGAGCACAGTACATTTATCTCATCTCATGGTAAAAGTCACAGGCGGCTGCAACATGTCCTTTAAGCCATTCAATAAGTAAAACTTGAAAATAGATTGCTCCTTATTTCTGGGATTTGTTTTAATAATGAATTCATTGCCATTTGTTTTTTAACTTAACAAGATATCATTACCTTTGAAGGTTTTTACTTCTCTTTTCCCAGAGGGTTAAAATGGCCCAGAAACGGGTTGTCAAGGCAAAGATAAAGGTAGCAAACACTCATTTCTGACACACTGTGGAGGCAATCATTTTTATTGAGGGAACCACCAGACTGAAATCTGCATCAAGCTCTAGCAGGAAAAATGCAAGAGAGGACCCCAAATAGTCTTTCAGTTCACAGTCCTCATTTCAATGGATTTAACTTTCTACTCAGTTGGGGTCACATATTTCAATCATAGGGTACAGAACTATGACCTTGGCTGGTATCATTGGCCCCAGTTACTCAATGGGGCACTTGTGAAACATTGCGGACTCATTTTGACTCTCCACGGGTGTGGCTAAAATTGCTCCTGTCCAGCCGTAAAGCTTACATGGATCGGCTGTCCCTCAGAAACTCACTATAAGAAAACTCAGACTAAATTTCCCACAGAGATCAGGGTTCACAGGACCCTTGGAGCTAATCTCTGTCTGCCCTCCTCCTCTGTTAGCTGTTACAAGCCTTCAAAAGTTAACAGGGTGATGGAGCCTCTCTCTATACAATCATTTCATCTCACTATCGTTGACTGAAGCTCACTGATGTAATGAAGTTACATAATCACCGATTATGCACGACTTCCATCCATCTTCCTACATATCCACATATCTTCTCCCCCTCCCCTTCAGATCAATCTACCGGGTGAGATTTATAACACATGTAAATGCTCTATTCTCTCATCATAGGTACTGAATATGGGACTTTAGCATTGCAGTACGGTGCACTGAACCACGTCATCAATATTGATTTTTTTTATCCCATTTCCCAGGCAGAATACGTTGAAGCATCCTTCGTGCTCCAGTCTCTAACTTTTTACCGAAAGGGTAAAACAGATGTAGCAGATAAGAGGCATCCTCAACTTAAGGTTAAGGGAAGTGTGTAATTGCCTGCATTTCCAAAGCTGGCTGCATTGCAATAAAAGGATGCTCTCTGGTTCCAGACCTTCGACTCTCCTGCACGTGGGTCACAGCTTCAGCTATTTAGGGTATTGGGTAAATAATTATGGGGCAATTGAACTTGAAAAAGAAATCATTATGGTGACATTTAAAATAATATTGCACTATTTTTTTCTTTTTTGGTCATTTTCAGCTTTTTCTTTTCTTTTCTTTTTTATACTGAATGATAATCCAGTGGATAAAAAAGTAGCCCAGGGTACCTAATAATCTCCAATAATCACAACCTAGAGAACAATTAACAATGATTATCATCTTAAAGTTTAAGAACTTGACAAGTGGGATGTCCCTGGTCCCATTGCGGCTGTGAAATGCAGCAGAATGCTGCACTGAGTTTAAAATATATTTCTTTTAATGAATAAAGAGTAGCTCGTTTCATTTTAAATAGGGCTCTTCGGTAAGTGTTCCTTTCACTGCTGCTACCTCTTCCAGAACACAGGAGCCACAAATGTTGCATCCAAACAAAAGAGTGACTACCCAGAATTAATTCAAGACACTCTTCCACATCAAAATAATTGGAGGGGGGAGCATTGCTTTGATTTATTTTCAATTACACTCAGAATACAGACCCACAGACACACACATACACACACACACACATACACACACGCACACACACTAACACACCCAACTGCAGTTATTCCATTCAGTGCCAATAACGGCCACATCACAGCCATCAATGCGATGCAGCAATCACCCAAGTCACCCATTCCCATTACAAACGCCCAAGTTTGCTCACGCCACTGAGGGGTTTGCATATATAAAATGACCTTACCGTCAACAGTCTTGTAAATTATTCTCCTCTGGATATCAGTCGGTAAGGTAATTGCTGGTCATCACAATGCGTATTCAGAAAAATCCACGTTTTACTCCTGTGTTCTTTTTCTTGTTTTTGCTAGCAATTAATATCGTGAACAAGATACCCATTCACAAATGCCAAGTTCACCATAAAAGCAGATAATTCCATACAGCTCTTCCCTACAAGACTGCCTCCAGTTAGTTCTCAAAGTGCCCGATTGTTTGGTGAAGATACAATCCAGGTACAGAGCAGGGAAAAAATGAAAACTAGGAAAAAAAGAAGAGGCAGATAGAAAAAGGAGAGACTGAGAGAGGAGAGAGCAGAAAAAGAGGGAAGAAATTTAAAGAAAAAAAAAAAGAAGGAAGGAAAAAGGCCAGTAAGTGAGGAAGTCTGTGAGCTCTATGACAAGAATCGGAGTCTTGCTTGCAAATCTTCCGTATCATGTAGCCTTTCAGATCCTCTTAGTCCCCAAGTAAAATTTCCAGATCCGGGATGCAGCCATAAGAAAGAATCCTATGTATATTTCACAAGTATCCCGCAATAACAGATCCAACGGGGTTTTCCTTGTACAGTACTGCTATGTGAAAGCACACAACCCCTGCTGTTTGGGAAGGTGTCTCCTGGGTCCTAGCTCTCTTCAGCAGCCCCCAAAAAATGATTTTTCAAAAAAGAGTGGGGGGAAAAAAAGCAGCTTTGCCTTTGCCTTGAATGATGCTAATCCTGAGCGAAAACGACAAGCTAACCATGAATAGCACAAGATCTTGATAAATAGCCACAATCCACTCAGAATATCCCAGGGAAGAAGAAGCAAAAACAAGAAAGAGAAACTGCAATGCATAAATGATTCCAGTGTTTCTACAAGATCGGTTCATTTGATTGAATGCATTCTCTGGTTTGCAGCAAGTCATAAAGAGGATAGTGTTACTGCCACCCAATGGATATTTTAGTACTAGCCAATCCACAGAATGCCACCGCTTTGCGAGTTTTAGTTTTCAGAAGACTGAAGAGGAAGAAGGGTAGCCTGGGAATCTTTTGGAAAGGACCAGGAGAGGCCTCGAATGACAGGAATCTGTCCTTTCAGGCAAAAGTGAACCGGCAAACACGGACGCTCCCAGTCTTGAGTTAGCCTCCTTAAAATTACGGTTCCATTTCTCTAGGAAGCAGAAAGGTACAGAGAGCGATGCCTAAACTGACACGCTTATAATAACCTCCTTTTCATCTCTCCTTAGAGCAGATTTTTTGTCACGCGCAGTCTTCCTCCCTCTCTCTCCCCCGTCCTCCGCCCCATCTCAGTTTCACTTTAAGCCGGATTTCCAAAGGGAGCGGGATGGGGTGCGGGGGAACGGCTGCAAACCTCAAGAGGCAAGGTGATAATTGTTTCTAAAGGACAGTTTTGCAAAGTGCTTCCGTCTGTATTGGTATGTAAATTGTGAGTCCATCAGGCAGAAATCCTCCACGCAGCTGCTCTGTCAGTTTGAGCAGGAGCAGAGTCTTGCCTAAGTGAGCGGGACTTGGGAGAAGGATGTTTGTGAAGGCTCTCTGGGAGGGTGGGGTGCGCAGAGAGAAGGAGATTGAAAAAGATCTTCCTTCCATCCACTGTGTAATAGAGTTCGCTGCAGGATTCTGAGATGGAGTTGTGATGGAAGGAGAGGGACAGAGTAGGCACTGGTCAAATAAGTTAAGGTATTTTATTCAGTTTAAGATCCTTGCCCTTTATACTACCTTGAGATAGTGTAATACTCACATGTGGTTCTGTACTTCTCAAACTTGAACTTGAGCACCTGGGTGTCTTGTTAAAATGCAGATTCTGATTCAGTTAGTCTGGAGTGAGGCCTGATAGTCTGCATTTATAATAAGCTGGTCCATGGACCACACTTGGAGTAGCAAGACTCTAGGGAAGCGTCAATATTTACACTGTCAATGCAGGGTTAGGTTCTGACAGCAGAGTGGGCCAGTTAAAGGACTGGAAAACACTTTCCCAATCACTACCCCTCCCTCTTCCCACTCTTCACCCTTTTCCACACACCACCTGTAGCCCCCGTTCTAGAAAACCTTAACCCTCTACAGCATATTCCACATGCTTTTGTAATGTACAGTTTAACAGGATAAACCAAAAATAGAACAATAAATAGATAAAGCAGCCTTGGCCTTAGAAAACCGTATATTCATTTAATTTGGGGAGTGAAACACAATTGAAGATGAAGGAAATACTTGCAAATATTTGGTATAATGCAAGCTAAACTCAGGGCAAAGGTGACACTGAATGGGGACTGGGAGACTGGAAAGGGACGTCAACCTGTAATTTTAAGGAAAGTATACCGAACTTTCTAGTCCAAGCTGAGGGAATAGCTGGTTAAAGTGTGTAGCAAGTCTTACATGGTTTCTCCCCGGAGGGAACACACCCACATTAACCTCCTATGTGCCAGCTGTTCTCTTCTCCCTTCTCCCTCCCCACATGCTCCAATCTAGAGCAGACTGAGAACCAATGAGAAAGGGTGGTCTCTTCTCATCGCAGGTGATCCACATTTCAATACCTATCACAATCCTTTAGCTGACCCATTTAAGTGAAGAACTAGCCCTCAAGCGGACTGGGAGGGAGTACAACTAACAAATTTAACAGCTTCAAGTAAAGTTTGGAAGCAAAAGTCCTAGACTGTAGGCTCAAATCTTAGATTTAAGTCTAATTTCTATTCCTAAGTAGCCGTAATTACACGAAGGAATCACTTGAATTTGCCTTGGTCTCAGTTTCTTTGTCTGTGAAATAACAGGTTGAAATGAACTGCTTGCCAAGGTCCACTCTAGCTCCATATGGTACAAAAATCAGGTTTTCTATTTGCAAGGCTTCAGCTAGGCACATTGTTGCTCTACACAGAGCACAAGTTCTAATTATTACCTTGACGTGGGCTACATGCGGAAGAGTATCTAGAAGCTTTGAAAAGTATGTTAAAGACACAAGTGAACATTTGACCATTTCATTCCTACTGCAAGAGATGATTCAAAATGCTTTCCCTTCAGATCCAGGAAGAGAAGTGGTTTGTTCATATCAGAGGTGAAGCATTGTCTATTCCTGGATTTTACAGAGCCAACTGTGGGCCTCGCTGTTTGTTGCCATGGGATCCTCTTTGTGCGAACTGTCTTGAACTGTGTGGGAACATTTTTCTCTTGCCTCCGTTCAATTCTCTAACTCCTCTGAAGATATGTGTCAGAACAAAATGTAGCTGCATTATTGCCAATTAAGACTAACAGCAGCTGCAAGGTGCATCTCATTAAGAATTTTAATTACTTCATCGAATTCTCATTTGCAGATGTTTGGAGCATTAAACAATGAATTGTGATTTTATTTTAAAATCTGAAAAACTGACCTCCCTTCAGAGGGGGTAAAAAATTATACAACTGAATGATAGGTGTAAAAAACGGCTTTGATATGGGAAGTATATACCTTGGCACATTGTTTGAGAAAGGTGATATTTTATTCAGAATGAAAAATTAGTGTGAGTATCCATAAATATTCCTTTTTATAAAGAAAAAGGCAAATAAATATCAAATACTGCAAAAATTAATAATTTACTATTTAAGCAGACTCCTTGTATGTTACATAGTTCTCAAATATTCTGTTCTTTTTATTTTCCAGTAATGGGATGGTTAACAGTAAATTTGGTGCTGCAGTATGGGGATTGTAGGCTATAATCCAAAGCATTATGGGGTTTGTAGTAAAAACTGGCTGCAGATCAATTGCATGCTTCTAGCTTTTCTCAGTTGAAGGAACTACTGTTTTATTTCCTGAAAATAAAAAAGAATAATGTTGAGATATGTTAAATAAGACATTCATTTTAATGAAGCAAAGTTGGTATTACTGAGAGTGTAAAATTAAAGTTTAGCTGTAATAATATTCTGACTGAGGAGATGGAGAATACAATAACATCTACTTTATAAGCCACAAATAACCTGAGCAAGCTATTTCCTAACATTACTGTTCTATAGCTAAGGTTTCAAAATCACTTTCATTGTTTTAGTACTAAAGAGTGAGAAAATAGTGGATTTTGTATTTATGAAAGAGAATTGTGAACACAGGAAATGAACTCAAATTCTTATGAGTTCACCTTTAACTATTGGTAGCCCACATTTAATTTTCCACATTTTACATCTTCCTAAGTGAAATGAGCAAGAGTTTTATTTAATGTACCTTTTTAAATGTTTTGTTGTATAAAAAACCTTTTCATTTTAATGTGAATATTCAGAGTAGCTCATCTTTTTAATGAAATCCTTAAGGCTAGATATCTGGAAAATATGTCTGGTGTGGGATATTTCATTCCACTTAAATTAATTAATTATGGAAATGTATAAATTAAGGAGTTATAATTCAGTTCATCGTTTGTAAGAGATAATTCTCTGTAAGTAAATACATAATTTATAGAGGTTTTGATTTAACTCCGTTGGCAATTTATTTTGAAGTTCATTAAACATTTTCTGGTGCTAAAAATTCAGACTCTAGCTCCCCAGTAACTGTTCTATGAAATCAGTCCCCCTTTTGTTTAAAAGGCTAAAATATGTCTCTTCAAAGTCTGTTCCATCTGTGAATGTTTCCATTATCATGCTAAGTTACTTAGAAAGTATTTTATACCTAAGGTTGCTTACTTTTCTTTTTCTCTCCTTAAAGAGGACTCCATCCACAAAAAGGCAGCGCTAAAGCAAAACTATTATTACAGATATGAATAAATGCAAAATCAAGCGCCCTTCATTTTCAGGCCTTTTGCCAGCAACATTCATTTGAACCCACCACCACATATTCTCAAATGATGTACAAAGACTTGAACATTTCAGCAAAATTCCACCGTAAAGTTCAGAAATAATAAAGAACGCTATGAAAAAGCAAACAGCAACAGGAGAGAAAAATGTCATGCCTGCTTTTCTTTCAGATTTCTAAGTTTTGAATCATAAAAACATACAAATATATATCTTCTTGAATGCAGTTTACATTATTGTTCATACTGTGAATATTTCTTTTATGGTCATAAAAATAAAAGCAATGCCCCAAATGAAACACTATGTACATAAGCGATGCAAATGCATCCCCGGTGGAAAGCTGGCTGGCTGCTGGTGGGAGGGTATATTTATACAGTGCCTTTCATTTGGAAGGTTCCCAAAATGATTTGCAAACTGTATATAGAGGAATTGCTCACCATGGAAATTCACCCACTTCCAGGAGAGAATGCAGAAGTTATTCCATGCTGACAACTAGTTAAAATAAAACCACAGAACAATATTTCAGGTGGGTAAAATTGTAATTGATTCAGGATATGTGCATTGAAAACCCACTATGTGCCAGGCACGGTTTGAGGTAATGAGGATATCATTGTGGATATACAGTCAAATTTTCTGCTCTCCTAAAGCTTACGTTTTATTGGTATCAGACCAGAACTTTGGAGTTAAAAGCCCTATTTCTTGGTGAATTTCTGACCTCCGCCTATGGTTCTACTGAAGCAGACCATGTGCTACTTTTTTATATGTATTTATACCAAACTTCATGATATCCAGGACGCAAGATTTGTGGCAATGCATTCTACTTCAGACCACACACACACACACACACACACACAAATAGCTTCAGATATTATGTTTGGCACAAGTAAAATGGTAATAACATTTCTTGCATTGAATGATTTGGAGGAGTTAGGGCAGAATTAAAAAGTCTTCTGGGTTTGGGAAATTAAATGAAGTAGTTTTGTTGTATATATGTGAAAGACCTCTTCCACTGAGTTAGAGTGCTTCGTGGTAACTAAGGCACAATAAAATAATTTACCGAAGGAAGAGAGCAGTGTGAGCTAATGTTTCAGAGCATAAAATATGGAATCAAATACCAGTGGTTTCCTAAATTT